TAGTAATTCTTCATTTTGTAAGGGTTTTATAATTTAAGTGAGGTTACTTTGAATACTCAAGTACTAGAAAAAAAACATATGCACAGAACAAAATAATAAAAACAAAATTTGAAGTGGTTTGAGTATTCAAGACAACCATACTTAGATTATAGTTTAAGAGTTGATAATGATATATATATATAATTTACTTGTATAATAATTTGTCCTTTGAAAATTAATTTTCATAGTCAAACATTCAATGTGAAACCAAAAACACATTGACCCCAAGTCAAATTTTTGGGTGAGAAAAGAAAGACCAAAAAAAAAAAAAATTAAGTTGACCTCAAAGTCTTTTTATTCATTTGTTTCTTTTTGGGCAAACACCTTATTTTATAAGAGGTTTTTGCTAGTATTAAAAATGTAAGTAGGCTTTCATGACTAATTATACAAGTAAGCAACTAACTTAAGGCTAATTAATTTTGACATCAACATCATATAATACTTTTTACAAGTTTCTGTGGAATTAAGCACAGTAAGTTCCAGAATTTCGTGAAAGGAAAAAGAGTCGGTTCTAGAATTACTTGGTAATTAAGGGTAAAAAAGGAGAAAAGCAGGAGCACAAACAAGTGATGGGGTCTGCACTCTGCTATGTAATGGGAGCTTGAGCTGCTTTACTTGACCGGCAATACAATTGGAGCTTGAGCTGCTTGACTTGACTGGAAATAGCATGTGAAAGATTCAGGGAACTGTCGCAGAAGTGACGCGCTCCTTGTCTGTATAGTGTATGAATGCTAGATAAGAGTCAATTATAGTCCTTTAACTTTTGAATTTTCATTCATTGTCCTCTCTACACTTACAAATCATTCAAAGTCTACCCTCTTCTTATCAAAGTCTACCCTCTTCTTTGCCACCCTACCAAATCACAGTGTTGTCCTCCCTTAACGTGAATTTTCCATTACACTTTCCTCCCTCCACTAACACTGTTTATAACTCTCATTCCAAGAAGGCAATTTCGACTGTTAAGTGCAATGATTTATTTTTCTTTTGTTGAATTCTTTTTGTGGCCCCCACAAAGTCCCATGTCAGCAACCTAGATCATCAAAATGTCTTTATAGAAACACCCATTTTCTTCCTTTTATTGTGCAAAATCCTTGTATCCCTAAATCAAGTTGATCCATTTGAGATTCTATATAACCTATCTAAAATTCTCAATTAAGTTCCTTAGAATGAGTCTAAACTCAATTCCAATGTCTGAATCACTATCCTCATTGGTCAATTCTAGATGACCATGATGCTGGGTAGAAGTAGGTGCACAATGTGAATGTGGGCTTCCTTTGCAATGAAAACTACATTAACCAAATGAAACTATGGGCAAAAATTCTGGGATTGGTCTAATTTTACGAGTGTTATAACTTAATTTATAAGTCATGATTTTGTTGTATTTCATCTATAGGTTGGTATCTAAATTTCATGTTATTTAACAATAAGTGTGTTAATGTAGGAGATTACTGCGGTTGAATTGAAAGAATCCAAAGATTAGTGTAATTACTTCATTTGGTATAATGAAGATTTTAGTCCTAGAGCTAAGACTTGGATAATTCATTGATGGAAAAGAAGAATACATTGTTAGGATAGTTTTCAACAACATCAGGGGAGGGGACAAGGAAGGTAAATGTTATGGGAAAATAGAGGGAGGATAACATTGTGGTTTGGAAGACAAAAGAGAGGATTTTGAATGATTTGTAAGTATAAGGAGGATAATGAACAAAAATTGAAAGTAGAGAGACTATAGTTGACCTTAACCCCTACATAATGTACGACGTCGACCCCCAATTTTTTTGGGTCCACCGATTTTGACGTGGGAGCCATGAAATCAAGAGACGCATACATGTATAACATATTAAGGAATTCAAACTATATTGTTTTTTCCATAATGTTTTTGTATTAATGTGACTTAGACGAGGTAACATGATTTTAATTAACAATTTAAATAGCTTAATAATAATTTTTTTACTATAAAATTAAGAGATTATAAATTTGAATCATATATTATAAGAGATAACATAGGATAAAAGAAAAAAGAAAGTTGCTTGCCCATCTATGAAACTCACCATCTCCTTCCCAGTGCCAATCCATCGCCTTATTCCCTGATGAATTGCCTCCAACAGAAACCACCACCCGTTGCCCACCATAATCACCCACTGTTCATACTCTATTCTAAGCCAGTACTTCGCTTGCCTTCCCATCCTATGTACCTTCATTGGTTGGTCCTCTTCTGTTAAAAACTCCAATAAAGAAAAAACCACACCTTGGGCCACCATGTTGTTGCTGAGCTTGCCACCCCTTTTGTGCTATTGGTTGACAAAGAAACTCTCATGGAGAAACACCCTAGAAAAAGAAAAAAGAAAAAAGAAAAAAAAAACTAAAGGGAGGAGAAACCCCCAATAACCCACATGAAATGAGATTTTATCTCTTAGAAAAGGCAAAAAGCCAACTTCTAAAACCCTAGTCCCCATAGAGAAAAGTCGTTTTTCTTAATTTATAATAGAGTCTCAAAATAGTTATATAACATTAAATGAGTTAATTAATCATATTAATTCACATATCCTCTTAGACAAAAAGAATAAATCATAGTTATAATAAGTTCTTTTAATAACTTAATTAAATTGACGGGTTCTATTCTTTTTTATGTCTTCTTTGTCAAAAGGGAAAAAGATTAATACCAATCCATTTGGTAATTAGTCATGATCACAACTAACAATAATCATCAATATCAATTCAAAATATGGGGTCAAAAAGAGGAAAAAAACAATAATTGGAGGGCTCAATCAAGTCTCTTTATATGGTAAAATTAATCAATCAAATGCGCCATAAATTGACTCAAAAGTAAAGTATAGGTTTTCAACTTCTTTTTTTTCTTCTTGTATTGATGTATTAAACTAATTAAACACTTTGAGAGGGTGAAGTAGTCCTTTCATGAATTGTGAGGTTTAAAATGAAGAATAGTTGTAAAGGAGAAAGTTGAAAAAGAGAACAACGACTGAAAATTAGCCAAGTGTCAAAATTGCCCATGAGGTGCATGTTTATAATTAGCATTTTTTAGGTAAAACCATTTTTTATTTGTATATCAAATAATGAGTTCTCTAAAGGAAATGTCCATCTCTTCTCTTAAATCTCTTTATATTCAACTCAAAATTTGAATATAAAATTTTTAAATTAAAATCTTATTAAGCTTCATTTAAAAATCTTTTTCATTAAACCCTTTTTCACATAACACCTTACTTAAAAATATAAAATTTTATTCTTAATTAATTTTAATTAGTGTTTTATATATCTATAATTTTAATTAATCTTATATATATTTTTGG